TGCATGAGTGTAAAGGTCGGACCTTTACGTGATTATAGTGGTTGGGAAGGCCAGATCTATAGTTTAGAGAAGCAGATCTGACCTCAGAAGGTCATTTGAGAGTTGTTATGGGAGCAACTCGCCGAGTCCATAAGTGTACTCGACGAGTCGAGTCGGGGTTGCCCTGCGATTCGTGACAGGTGTAACCCGTCGAGTGGAAGGATGACTCGACGAGCCAAGAGAGGCTGAAAGGATTCAGAGGACCCACATGGACTCACCGAGTCGCCCTTGTGCACTCAACGGGTCGGGTCAAAGTTTGACCGTTGACTTTCGTTAACTTTAGGGTTCTGGTCAAGACTGTTTCAAGAGAGTTCGAAGAGGGGTAGAATGGCCTTCTACCCAATCTTTAGAGATGAGACTATGAGAGAATATTGATCGGGGATGTTATTTGAATAATAGGAAGAGGCTAAGTTGGGACGTTGAGCACGAGAGTTTATCCGACTTCATCGAGGTGAGTCTTTTCACTATACTGTACCTGGAAGGGTACCTATGTGTGACCGGAAGGTCTTATATGCTATGAGATGTATGATCTGTATGTTGTTATGTGATATGTATGTGTTATGTATGTTATGTACGATAAGGACCGGAAGGTCAAGATGATAAGGACCGGAAGGTCAAGATGATATGGACCGGAAGGTCAAGAGGTTACGGACCGGAAGGTCGATACGGGTAGGACCGGAAGGTCTACCGGGATTCGGGACGGAAGTCCCCTGAGACACATGGATCGGAGGATCCTACAGAGTTATGGCCTGGAAAGGCGTATGTGTTGTATGTGGTATATTGGGGAACTCACTAAGCATTTATGCTTACAGTTGTTATGTTATGTGTTTCAGGTACTAGCGAGGATCGTGGGAAGGCGCCGGCATGATCCGTACACACTTATGGAGTTTATGTTATTGAGATTCTGGGACATGTTTTGTTATGACACAGTGGATACATTATGTTTTGTGATTATCGTGTGATTGAAAGTATGATTTAAAAATGAAAAATTGTTTTGAAAATTTACGTTGTTACATCAACGTTCAAGGTCAACAGTCTATGTTGACCTCAACTCGTCGAGTGCATCCTAGCAATTCGTCGAGTTCCTTCCGAGTCCATTCCACAAAATCCCATGTCAACTCCCCGATTCACCTAAGTGACTCGTCGAGTTCATCAAAAGTCCAAAAAATTAAAATTTCATGCAGTCCCAAAACCCTAATCCTTCACTGCACTCATTCTGAATCTCGAAAACGGGTAAACCATATCCGACTCGTCGAGTCAACTAAGGGACTCGACGAGTTCCTTCAGTCCCTTTTGTGTTCATCCCTTTTTAGTGGGATCTAAGGTCCCAAACTTCAGATCCACCCTTCCCTAGTGCAATTACCACGTAAACTTGCAAACTTTATGTGCATGCAAGGCCTCACAAGGCTAAAACATCAAAACTAAGCTCACTACAAGGTTTTTGTGCATGGAAAGGGCCTAAGTTGGATAAAGTGAGCAACTTTTTGTCATTGGGGACCTAGAGAGGTCCAGATCTGGAACCATATCCTTGTGATAAGTCCATATCCGAGTATGACTCCATTTTGCACCAAAAATGGCCATTTACTTCCCAGAAAAGGGATCTAAGCAACTAGAGATCAAGGTAACGACTTTATACCTCAAGATGGTGGCCAATACAGAGTAGATGTCGGATCTACTGCTTCTCTCCTTGCTCCTTCTTCTTCAAGCTCTAAAATCCTTCACAAACACACCAAAATTGCTCACAAAATCTCTCTCTCTCTCTCTCTCTCTCACTCAAGAAGGTGCAAGGTCCAACTAGGGTTTTCTCTGGCTAATAGGGTGGTAAGGGAGGCAACAAGAGGCGGGGTATGTTCTTTAAATAGGGTGCAAACGCTAAAAATTAGGGTTTTCCTTTACAGCGCCTACTCGTCGAGTCGGGGCCTTTTGACTCGTCGAGTAGGATTAAAAATATGCGTCCTCATTATAACTTCTACTCGCCGAGTTGGAGATCCCCAACTCGCCGAGTCCATGCACAAAACCCTAAAAATTCGATAAATTAAATAATACCTAGAACAGGTGTTACAATAATGGAGCGAGGCTACTGGAAGAAGCCCTTTTGAGATTATCATGGGTCAACAACCTTTGACGCCGCAAGAACTAACTAGGGGGTATAAATGCACTAGTCCGCCCGCATACAAGTTCGCTAAAGGGTGGAACGAGGAGCTTGACATAGCGAGGTCTTACTTAACCAGAGCAGCCAAACGCATGAAGAAGTGGGCAGACAAAAAGAGACAACCACACGAAGTTATAGCTGGCGACGAGGTGATGGTGAAATTTCCCCAAAGAGTGTTCAAGGCCACTAGACAATTTTCCAAGGGTCTAACTCGAAGATACAAAGGACCATTCAAAGTAATTCAAAGGGTGGGAACACGTTCGTATAAGTTTCCAAATTTATGGTCTTGCATGGCTATTAAGTGCTCAAATACCAAAAACCCTAACTTCTTAACTCATTAAGACATCCTAGCTCATGCATGGAAAGAAACTAAGGTCCAAGATTACATTTTTATGCTTTTAAACACTCCAAAACGTCTAAAAAACAGCTTATATGAATTAGAGTAACCCATACTCATAATACCAAGCTTATGGGACCAAAATGAACACAAACCCATGGCTAAACAAGATCTAAGCATAGCTTCATCAAGTTCAGAGCTTTTTTACCTTCAAATGGTGTCAAACGATGATGTGATTTTGGATCCAAAGTGCTCCATTCTTCTAAGATGGTTTCCTCTTCCTTCTTCCTCCTTCAAGAACACCAAAAATGCACACTCAATGTCAAGATTGTTTCACTCAAGAGATTAGGGTTAGCTAGGGTTGAGTTGGAGGATGGAGGCTGATGAATGAAAGGTTTTTGAGGCTATAATGAGGTTTAAATAGGGTGCAAACCCTAAATATTAGGGTTTTGGTCCATGCCACATACACCCAGCGTACGCAAGCCACACCAAAAAATTACAAAAATGCCATTTGGGAGCAAAATGCAAACAATTCTCATATCAAGGGCATAAATGGAATACTTGGAAATCAAGATGTTACAGGTTAAAATTACGTGTTTGGTTTCTAACTTTTTTGCACTCGGATTGTCCTTGTGGTATGATTTTGTTGCGTTTTTTGTCACTCGCGTACATGAAAAGACTATATTTCCCTTTATATTTTCTTGCTCACATTTTTATAATTTTTTTTTATTTTTTATTAATTAAAGAAAATAAAGTGATGATTTGTATACATGGGACCCACTTCCATCGCTACCACGGCTAGTTATCGGCAACCACCTTAGGCACCACCAGAAACCTAAAATCAGTTCCAAAAAAAATCAAAACCTAATACAAACAAGAAAAATCTTAAAATCAAATCTACCACCACCACACCCACATGAGAAAAATATGTCACTCCATCAACAGCCATCATTGTTATTGCCATCGACCTTTGTCACCGACCGTCATTACCACCAACGTCAACAATCCACCCCTATTAATGCTTAAACTTGCACAAAAAATTGAGATTTGGAGAATCATATGAGGGAGAGAGAGAGTACTAGCCCATAGATCATATTTTAGAAATAGTATGGTGGTTGGGACGGGGGTAGGGCCTTTTTTTCTAATTTATAAATTATAAACAAATTACAAAAAATAAAAATAAGAATAGCATGGTTTTTCATGTCTACGAGGGACGAAAAACTTAACAAAATCAAACCATAAGAACAGTCCAAGTCAATGGCGTAACTAGCTTGAAGCAAGGGGTAGCCCATGCTCTGCCTCAAATTTTCACAATAAGTGCTCCATCGCAAAGGAAGATGAAGAAGTGACACTGGTAGATTATATATGGTGCTACTCCTTAGCCCTCTATGGATGATGCATAAAACGAAATTTGTGTCTTGAGAGAGCTTCAATGGTGGAGAATTCCTAAGAGAACTCTTCCAATTTCCTTAACTGTATGAAATTTGTTTTCTTTGTTATTTTTCCAACCAAAGAGCTATCAAGGAATACTTTGGGAGAATGGTATATGAAACACTAGTGGTCAAACTAAGGCTCCTTTGTTAATTGACTCTTTATGGTAAGTGTTTGTGAAAAATCCTGGTTTAGCATTTAGAATGGCATAATGTACTCACGTTTATAATTTCTAAAACCATGTGGGTATATAGCTGGGTTGATGTTTCTAAAGTGGCATAATGCAGTCACATTCACAATTTCTAAATAGGCACTAGAAGCCATGGTCAAGGATGCAAAGAAGAACAATATGGTCCTAAGGTCTTCCAGCATTATAAGCATGCATGATTTGGCTTCTGTTTCCATTAAAATAGGCGAAAAGGAGGCGATTCAAGATTGTTTCGTTAGTACAATATATGAATTTTCAATCTTTATTTCTTAAAGGTACTTCATAAAACATTGATTATCATACTTCATACACTTAGAATTCCCTTTTGATGACATAAATTCAGAGGCCAATAGGACATGACTCAGCTCATTAGACAAGAGTTTCACAATTACTGTTGGAACAATGTGAAATTGTGTGTCATAGTACCAGATAGAGCCATTTTTCTAGCTTTAGCTGTCAGAACTAGAACTCTTTTTGTGGCAGCGAAGTATAGGGCCATTAAGGGCGACTGTAAAACTTGTTTGCCCTTTTACACAGTTAAAAAATAAGCATGACATTTTGACCATGAACTGTTGTAAAAGTGAAAGTAAATTTAAAAAAAAAATAATAATAATAATAATAATAATAAAAAAATTAAAAACAAAAAAAATTGTTGCTATAAAATTCAAAAAAAAATAAAAAAAACAAGCATGGGTTTATTGGTGTTGCCACCCACGAACAAAAATTTTTGGTTCTACTCCTGATCCAAAGTACAAAAAGAAAAAAATTTGAGACCAAAGGCACAACTTGAGGACAATTTCAGTCATTTACTCTAAATTCAATTGAAGCACATACCAAAAAGAAAACCATGATAAACTAAAATATCCCTACAATATATAAATTTGTATTCAAACACACACCAACTTAAAATAAATATTCCTAACTTAAATGACATCATCGTCATCATCCTAAATAACTCACAAACTCAAGCCTATTGTAAAGTCATATCATAAACATAAACTAATCTCTTTCTATCTATCTATCTATCTATTCGAAAAGCTTCAGCATCCAAAAAAAGAAAGAAAAGCATCCATCCTTTCAACTTTCAAGAACATAAATAAAGTTAAAAGCAATCAATAACAAATCTATGTTTTGTGAATCATCATCATCATTCATCATGTTTCAGGTCTCACATATCGGCTGCTGGATTTGCTAGACCAAAAAAACCCTTCCAAGCAGTCTTCAAATTCACAATACAATGGAGTGGATGCTGCCTAAAAGTCTCTTCCTTTGTACTGCATCTCCTGTCACCACAAATAAGAGGGACATTTCTGTCATTATAAAAAAAAAATTTATAACACTTTTTCCCTCCCACAAATAGGAGGGGCATTTTCGTCATTATAGAAAAATTATACTACATAAACTTGTGTGAAGTTTTTTATCTGTTTTATTTTAGTGCTTTGTTTGTATATTTAGATACAAATGGTCATCAATTATTTAAACACATAAATGTTATCAAGCATCAACCAAAAATGTTAAAAAAGTTGAGTTTGTTACCGGAGGATAAGTGGGCATGTAGACCATCTGCCGGGGTTGACCAAGAACCATTTGCTGCCCATACTGAGTCATACAAATATATACATATATTCTTAAAATTAATTTCCACAAAATAAATTATTTTACTTCAACTAACTATTAAGTAATAATAAAAAATACCTGTGGCACGTTTGGATTGAAATATGGCTGCTGTGGTTGATACGATGTGGTCTGGGGACCATACATAACAGGCTGCTGTGGAGAAAACGCAAAAAGAATTACAATTTTTTTTTTATTTTCATTAAAAAAAAAAAAAAAAAAAAAAAAAAAAAAAAAAAAAAAAAAAGATGGATGTGAAAGGCATTACAGGTTGCATATGTGAGACTGGAGGTGGGTAGTAGAAGGAAGGTTCAGGTGCAGGTGCTACTGGAGAAGGAGATGGGGTCTGTAATGGAACAAAGCTCTTGGCATTTGGGTTCAGTCTAAATTCCTGCAAATTTTCAGAACATAATTGTCAAAACTGAAAAATAAAACCATTGTTAATTTTTGATTTGTACCTTTGCATGGGGATTCAATGTTGATTTTTCTGAAGCCATGGATGAGGTAGGAGATGACACAGGAGCAGTTACAGCATTTCCAGATTCTGAAGTAGATGATGATTGTGGTGTAGTAGCCTCCTCATGTGTCTTCACAGTGGCTGCTGCTGCTACTGATGCTTCACTACAACTCACTGTTTCATGAGTCTTATTATTAGATGGTGCATATGCAGTTGCATCTGCTGATAATCCTTTTTCAGAGCTTTCTTTCTTTCCCATCAATACTGACTCTGACTCTGACTCTGACTCTGTATGTGTATACAGACATTAGATTAGATTTGAATGATAATTACTCATATTGACTACTTGTATTGTCAACAAAACAAGAATAGAAAAACTAACCCTCTGGTTTTGAACCCTCATTTTGCTCCAAAAACGGCTGCATGTCAAAACACAAGTGTAATTAATAGTTACAAACTATCTACAATAAATGGTATACACAATTTGTGTTATGTATGATTAATCTACCATATGCTTTCCAGTATCCTCCTTCTCCTTGGTGTAATAACTTCCAGCCTTTTGTTGACTACTCTGGTTCTGGTTGTCTTGAATCCTGAGATAAATAATAATAAGATACATAAAAATAAAAAAGTATAAACTCTTTTGTGAGAATAATTGGGTAAAAAAATATCTAAATATTTCAACAAACAAGAACCTGCTCTCATTGTGCAAAGAATTAGATGGATAGAAGTCTCTGCTAGTACTCGTTTGAGAAGCTTGGCACTCAACCTGATTCATAACATAAAATATTCACCGAATTTACAACATTGGAATTTCAGATTCCATTTCATCATGTGTATGTTTCTCAATTCTCAAATGAATATTGGAACCTTCAAAGTCCATGTTTGATGGACTTCATTATTCAAAAGAGAAGGGTGGGAGGAATTCAACACCATTCTTTCTTTTTAATAAAAAGACCAAAATACCCTTGTTATACATATCTTGAAATAAATAAATAAATAAATTTGATTATGGGTACTTAAAATAAACAAGATTAAGAAGTTGAAGAAATACATACCAATGATGGTGCTTGAGATCCACCACTTTTCAAGTGAGTTAACTGATTGTTGATGATGGAATCAGACACATTCCCAAAGGTTTCATTATTTTCTGTATCCCAAATGTCCTCATTTTCATCATAACCACTATCATCAACACCACGAAAAACTGATGAATATTTAGTTTCCTCATCAAGATCGAAGCTGCTATGGAAGTGAATGCCCCTTTCCTGATAAATACAAATACAAATACAAACTAGAGCTATAAGAATTTAAATAAATGGATTTGGATAGAAATGAGGAAGCAAAGAATTCACCTCAGCTAAATGAAGATCCTGAGTATCCTCTCCCTCGATTTCTCTAGCTATTCTTAAAGCCTGTTTTTCCAGCTCTCTCATCTGAGGACCTCTATCAAGTTTTGTTGTGTAGAGTTCCTCATTGAATGTACTTTTTACTCCAAATAATGCTGCATTTGTCTCAAATTGATCCCATCCCCTGTTTAATGGATAATTAGGTTAATAAAAGTTCATGTACTCAAACTAATTTATAATCTTATCAATGTAAGGAGAATGATTTAATGCAAAAAATCCCCTACTATGTCTTTTACATACGCACACGTAAAGTCAATATAAGGACACTGATTTATAATCTCATCTATATTTTCACTAAGTTAACAATATGTATACACACACACATAAAGACACACAATCACATACATACACATATCATCAATTCAATAAGGACACTAAGCAAACATCATTAGACCTAGAAATGATACCAAAAGAAGATAAAGAATTTAAAACCTGTTCCAATGGCGATCAAATGTGTTGTCCAGCTCAGGCAATTCTATATTATCATCATCCGGGACCCACGGTTCCAACTCTCTTTCCAAATCAACATGTCTAGAACGAGAAATCAAGGAATCTGTCATAATATCTTGCTGTTTTTCAAGATGAACCTCATTTGTAAACCCATCCCTAGTTACTGTTACACCCTGCACATATGAATCACAAAAACTTATGTCAACTCTCTTTTTAAGTATTGAGTTACTTATAACAAACAGAAACAACCAAACAGACCTTTGCTACAACTTGCACAAAGTCTTTTGCAGGTATGATTAAGGTTTTAGAAGGGGCCTTGTTAACAGAATCCAAAATGTTTTTCTGTCCTTGAGAAGAACCAGTATTCGTCACACATGCCATCTTCAAGATTATTCCTGAAAAGGGCAACCATGAATGTGTTAATAAAGCATATGATGTATAATGCATGTTCAATTATTCACTATTCAAATGTTTTAGAAGATACCAAAATCATTATCTGCATTTGTGGCATGAAATATCCCAGAGTATATAGATCCATCTGTGACCTGGACATCCACCTGATGCCCAATAAGACATGTGGTGAAGTAAACAAGTCGCTCACGTGATGGATTATCGACTCCTCCTTTGTTTCCAATTGGTAAACCTGAGAGAGAAAAAAAAATAAGTTAGAATGATGAACATGAAAGTTATTAGCAATTCAGCCAGAAAAATGAACCTGTTGTGGTAGTTTTGTTGAAGTTTGACTTTCCCGTTTGAGATTTATTGTCAAATCTAATCCCCATTTCTTTTTCACCTCTCCTGCGGTTGAATCCGTTTGCAGAGGACCTTGGTGGTGCAACTTGTTGCAGATTCATTCTTGATCAAAATTTCAAATCCACCAAGAACTGGATACTGTAAAAGTAAATCATTTAAGTAACAAACAAAATATGAAAAGGGCTTTTCATGCTTTTAGTTTTTGTTCTTTTCAGATACATTTTGTTCAGTTGAAAGTTTCCTTCTGTTTAAATGTGTTCAGTTTAGACTTTAGATTCGTCATGTTTAGGTTTGCTCATGTCAGATTCCTTATGTCCAATATCATTCTGTTTGGATTTGTTTTGTTTTGTTTTGTACTGTAATTTGTTTCCTTCAGTTTCATTAGTTGCAGATTCTAATAGCTTTGTGTTCTTCCATTGTGAGCTTGGTGTTGTACATGTCATAGCACAATTGGATTTATGAGTACACTTGAAGTCATGAACTTGGTATTTGGTTTGTAATATTGGATTATATGACTTTGGAATCATGCTTATTATGATAGTTCAGTTATTAGGTTTTTTGGTTGCAGTTTGAAGGCCTTTGACGTATTATTGTGGTTATCCCATCAAACAATAGTGCCCTAATGCTCAATTGTATTGGTGGCTTATACAACTTAACTTCTTCACAATGATTAAGGTATCCTATAAAAACCCTAATAAATCAATAACCAGAATCTTATATAGATTTGAGAAAAATCCTGAACAGTAGAAATCAAGTTGCTTTGTGACCGTTAAACACAAACTTACAAAGTTTCTAAACATACACAATCCAGAGTCAAACCCCTATCGTCTAAGTTTCCATTCCAACATGTAAGTCCATGAATGTGTTGCGATATATGTGATGATTATGCATACAAAGAGAAGGTGTGTGTGTGTGTGAGAGAGAGAGAGAGGGCGACGACTTACCGGAAAGATCTGCGAAGGGCGATTAAAGGGTTTGATCCAAAGAACAAAGCGTGTGGAAATAAATATCTTTTAGATGCAGGCAAGAAAGAAGGGGAAGATCGTGATGTCTGGGGACCTACCACATATGGCCACCGTAGTGTTTACTCTGCGATCAACGATTCCCTTGAAGAAATTGAATGAGGTTTTGAAGAGGAAAGTATCGAAACTGAGACCCCGATTCCAGCGAATAGTGTCTGGTCTTTTGGGTTTGTGTGATCAGGGGCAACGTTAGGTTTTTGTTAAAAATCGCCTTGGTGTGGCGACGTGCTACGAGTGGTCAGATAGGGTTGATAAATATTTTTGACTCATAAAATAAAATAAAAAGTTATTTATAGTAAAAAAAATCATAATAGCTAATAATAATCTTGTTAAGTTTTTATAGAAAATAGGGTTATTTCCAAATTAGATCTTATATTTACAGTTTTTTTCTATTTGAACCAAAAAAAAAAAAAATTTCCAAAAAGACCATATTTTTTATAATCCTTGTTATTTAATTGATATAATCGGTTAACTAAGTCAATAGTCGGTATCATAAGGGTACGAACGGTATCAAAAGGTACGAACCCCTTATCATGAGTTGTATCATTCCAATCCATGAGGACATACGCAAACGACTTCTTCCATTCGCTAGGTTTTTAACAGCAGTTACCATTCGCTAGTTGTGCTTCAAGATACCAAGTAGATATGCAAAATTAGGGCTTTTCCATAAATTGCACAAAAGGAAGGTTATGGCATCCAACAGCGATGTTAAGAAGAAAACTAAGACACGCAAGAAAAAATATGTTGATTATGAAGATTTCAAAGATGAAATTCGCGTGTCAGACATGCCCATGGACTATGAGAGGGAAAAGGTAATAGTTGTCTCCTTCCAATATGTTAACGACCATTTTCTTACCAAATTTTTTGAAGATGAATCTGAGTTTTTGGATGAAAAATATGAATATGTAGATGATTTAGTTCATCTAGAAGACGACGAGAGTGGCATTGGTGGTTCCAATTCTGTCCATGATCCCACCATAAAGTGGAATCTCATGGAACCAAAGGTTTGAGAGAAATATCAAAAAAAAAAAAAAAAAAAAAAAAAACTCAACTAAAAAATTTCCTTATTAACTACGTTGTGTCCCATGGGTACCCATAAGGCTTGAGAAACTTGAAAGTACTAGGTTAGTTGCTAGATGTGATAGAGATATAGACAAAAAAATGTGATTTTCGTTTGTATGTGTTTTGGTCAAAAATCGGTCAAGTGCAATTCGACCAAGTTGTATCAGAGGTTGTGGTGTTAGTATAATGTAAGTATAAAATAATGATCAAAGTGAGACAAGTGGGTTACAAGGAAAGCTCTTGATCATTTATAGGATCTCTGGCATAAAACCTTAGGATGTGATAATGATCACCTGCCTTGATTTGTTTTATTGATTTAAATTTGAGATTACAAAGATGATGAAGGTAATACGAGTACAAGTGTAGTAATCAAGTTAATTGTGTATATAGTGTGTGATTTACAGGTGTTATTTATAGTCTAATCTATTTAACAAGAAGTATGAGATTTTTCGGGATCCTCCTTGAACAAGTATTTACACGTTGTTTGACTTGGTATTCCCGAGTCTTAAGCCTGGTTGAAGTGATTCTCCGTTGAGAATGAGTCTTGAGTTGACTAACTTTGCACATGTGAGAAAAAAAAATATAGTCGTTATAAGTGTTAGAAATATTATTGATAATAGTCAGGATCCTGTGATATATTTAAGGATCCTGAGGTTTCAGAAATATTAAGAATTATGAATATGATTATGGGATCCTGCCCCTAATAATTGCCCCCAAATTATACCTGTGAAATATAAACGTTAGTTTTTAAATATTTAGAGGTATAATTTAAAGTAAAAGATGAAGTAAAAAAGTTCTAACGGATAGGGTAATTTAAATTTCAATGGATAGATTTATAGTCGTTGGAATAGGTCAAAATCACCCTTCTACATTTCCTTGATGATTGTATAAATAGGGTATTCAGCCTTTTAATCTCGTCTTACTCTTTTAGCTCTCCTTCCGGACGTCTACCGAATATCATCGAAGGTACTACCTTTGTCTATCTTTCTCCTTCCTCGTTTTCTTTTAAATATGGTCAAAAAAGGAGTTCGCTCTCGCACAAAAATCATAGTTATACCTGATGATGATTTCGTAGATCATAAAATCCTTTCCTATGAGAAACTTGTACCTGCAACGATGACATTATCAAAGCTTTAAATTCAATTGGAACATTTCACACTGATACTGTTTTCAAACCTTTTGATGTCAGGATCCAACCGGATTTTATTTCCCCTATTTGGGTTTGTTTTCCTGAGTATCCTTTTACATTAGTCCTTACTTATCCCTTTTCCAGAATCATCTTTGAATTTTTTTTAAATTACTAAGATTTCATATATCCAAGTCATGTCAGCGGTTTGGAGGATCCTTTATTGGGTTGATCATCTGAACCACTCCATGGGTCTCAACATAGGTCTAAACGAGTTAGCTTAGGTTTACGAACTTTCGACCTTTGGGAATTCCCGTTTCATGTTGAAAGTCAAAACTGATAGTTCACCTCTTGTATTGAAATCCAAGCATAACGATCGTGCTTGGAAAGGAAGATACTTTTTCGTGAAACGTGACTCAATTCCCAGTGAAAATCTTTTACCTCAATCTTGGGTCAAAAAGGGTAAGGTTTCTTATCTTTATATTGAGGATCCCAATATTCACACTTCTAATTTTGTTTGATTTTTTGCAGCTTCAAGTTCGATGAGTTAATTCGCCTTGCTGAAGACACTGAAGATAGAATCAAGAACTTCCTTGCCCTACCCGAGATTGACAAGACATTTAAGCTTGATCCTTCCATGTCACACCCCCAAACCAGGATGGCGGAAACGTCCGGGGGTGGATGACTTCAAGAACAGTATCACAACATAATGTACAATAGTGATCAAAGCAAACACAACCATCATAAATATAATTGAGAATGTTACATTGTTTCCAAGTATCGTATGTTTCAAAACCAATTACATTGTCATGACAAAAATGAATAGTACGACGGCGTAACGTGCCCATCCTCAAAAGCCTTGTGACTACCTGTTTAACGGTTTCCTGAGAATACAAGTAGTTTTGAAAAGTGTCAACAGTTAAGTTGGTGAGTTCATAAAAGTTTTGTACGGATAAAAAATCTGTAATTCTTTCCTTGTAAAAATGATAGTATTTGTTCCTAAAAAATTCAATATTTTCTTAAAATGAGTTATAGTCTTAAAACCCTAAGACCAAATATGTGTAAGTATTTCTATACTTAAAATAGTATTATGTACTTTTATTCTTATATAAAACCATTTGAACGCATGTTACCCTGTAAACTAGATGTATCGCTGATTTCTCATGTGAGTTATTACAACCATGTTAAAACCGAAGTTGGCTTGCCGCGACGTTCTTCAGGCGTCGGAATGTTAGACACTTGTCACCCCAGACCTGCCGGTCTAGCTGTAGCTAGCAGCTTACGTGCGAGATTGTCAGTCTTGTATAGATCTATACACAAGTACCACACTCTCTTACCGAGATTCTGGTTATAATTCAGGACTTTAGTGTGTACTCTGGTAGGTACGGTGAAAACTTTGTCTCACATAATTGTTTCAACAAGCTTACGTTTTGTGTAATGAAAACCCTTGTAAGTGTAATTATCATTTTTCCATAGTATTAATATAGTGTATAATAATTATATAGTTTAATATAATTATTCGTCTTGTCCCAAAATGTTATAATAGTGTTAATGACCCACAAATTATACCTATTAAAGTTTATTATAAATATTTTGTTGTACCTATATACACACACAAACACACACACACACACATACAACACACACACACATACAAACACACACACACACACACACACACCATATATATATATATATATATATATAGAGAGAGAGAGAGAGAGAGAGAGTCAAGATCAAATAAGAAGGAAATTTTTGGTAGGAAGGTAATAAGTTTTTTTTCTACATATTTTTTTCGAGAACAAACAAAATGAATCATTAGATGATTCATTTGTAAGGTGATTCACAAGAAAAAATTCTCAAAAAAACATTTCGATGATTCATTTATACAATGATTTTGTTGTTATTCACTAAAATTGTCATAAAAGTGATTTTTTTCTTAATTTACTTAAAAATGAATCATAAAGATGTTTTTTTGGGAATTTTTTCTTCTGAATCATCTTACAAATGAATCATCTAGTGATTCATTTATTTTGTTCGTCAAAAAAATATATAGAAAAAAAACTTCTTACCTTCCTACCAAAAATTTCCTTCTTACCGGATCTATATCCTATAGATATATATATATATATATATATATATATATATATAAGTTAACATGTTTAGATGTTCATAAATAACATATATTATACATCTAACACAAGTATATGAACTTTTAGTATGATAAAGCTAGTTTTCTAGGGCATTTTTACGTCACCAAACGGTAAATATTGAATTATAAACTTTGTAAAATTTATTTTTACCTTTTTTTGAAGTTTATGTCAAGCTAACCTTATATGTTTAAAACAACATATTTTAGGTCAAAACTCACAAGAATGGTACCATAACCTGGTTATGACCATTTTTGCTAGAAAGCCCTAATTTTTACATAAAATGATAGATTTTTAGGATTTTCTATTTGTAAAACCAAATCTTTGGTATTTATAACTAGTTTCATAACATATGTCCCAAAATAACATATTTTGATTTATATACCACAAAAATGATGTAATAACTTGGTTATAACCATTTTTGCTAGAAAAGTCATATTATGTTCATAAAAACCCTAGTTTTTTATAGTTTTGTTTTTATGATTTTTTCTTAAGATCACATAGCATGTTTATACTCATTTTTCATATATTTGCATTTTAAACAACATACCACACATAAATGTTTATAATAATAGGTAATAACATTATTTCATATAGATAACGTTTTTACACAACATGAAAGTAAGCATGTGTAACAACTTGTACAATTATACAAGTTTGCTTGTATTCTCCCCCTAAAACTTGGATAAAGATGAAAATGAGGGGTATGAACTCACCTTGAGTGTGTTTCTTGGTGGATAAAGAGGTGAAGATGAAAGATTTCAAGCTAAGAACACTTGAAGATTGAAATATCTTATGGATATTAACACATATTAATGTGTGTAATTGTAACAAAACTAGTATATATATACATATATATATATATATATATATATATATATATATATATATATATATATAGAATCACTAGATTAGTAAGGAAAAACTTACCAAAAGATCAAGAACCAACTTATGGAGATTAATCTTGAGATAATGACTTGTTCTTGAAGAGGAGATGAAGAAAATGAAGAAGATGGAGTGGGGGGGATCTCGGCCGAATAAGAAGGAGAGGGAGGGTGAGGGGGTGGGGTGGGTATGGGGGGAGAAGGTGGGGTGTGGCTTTTTGAATTAAATATTCAAGCATGACTTCTCGAATTTAATAATAATACTTTTTACAGGTGTAATAATCATATAAAACAAAAGTGGTTTCTTTTATTTTTATAAAAAGAATAGGTAATTTTTATAAGAGTTTGTGATTTTTATAAAAAAAAATATGGTAAAAATGATGTATAATTA